TCATATATGGACATAATATAATTTGATCAATCTCATGCCTCAGTACTTTCCTTTCCCCTTTTCTCCTCCTTCCTTCAATCTTCTAGCTCTACTCTACTGATCTCTCTTCTGTTATTGTTGTTGTTATCTTATTATCGTTTTAATTGGTGCATATATATAGTAATATATATGCAGGATTCCTTGTGGTATATAGTTTTATATAGACACAGCATAATCTTCACTTTAAGTGATTTTATCAGGCAAGTTGGTAAAATCTGTATTAAAGGACACTGTTTTTACTTTTGGTAGTCATTCTACAGAAAATAGGTGCCACACAGGTAGGGTATCAGAACTAGTAAATGGAGGGCTGGAATCTGAGCCAAAAGTCATGCTGCCTCTGTGCTGAGAGGTGGCCTTAGTCTACTATTCCCTGACTTTTCCATCTCCCTTGGTTGTCTGCCTTTAGGAAAACAAAAGCATAAGCATTGAAATAGAAGTTCCCTTCCCATATGAAATTTTGTTCTTTCTGAAGGTGGGATACTACTCAGTATGGTGTAACTCAGTGACACAGCTCTGACTCAGAGTCACAGTGGAGAAAACGAGGAAGAACACCCAGGAAACTCACTTACAAGCAATGGCAAGTTTAGCTGACATTTTAAAGTCATCAATCCCAGATGATATATTTTGGGTAGATAATACATTTACCCAGAACAAACCAATCCATTTCATCTCCTCTGTGATGTGAGAGGCGGTAGAGGAGAGCAGACGGAACACAAGAGGCTCCACAGTCAGTAGACCTGGATTCAAGTCTTGGCTTCACGACTTATTATATTTCTACTCCCATCCTCAGTTTCCTTATCTATAAAATAAAGGTCATAGCACATAGCTATTTTATCGAGTTACTGTGTGCTCAGCACGCAGTACATATTCAGCTGCTTCCTCTGTACCAGTTTAGAGAAGAGATGGGGAAGAAATGTACCGTGGAGCCTGGTGACACACAGGGTCATGGAAAGTTGAGACCACTCAGGTAGAAAGCATCATAACAATGAAGCCATCATATTCCTGCTGTAGATCCTCATTGTGAAAGCATTTTGGGGTGTCTGACTGTTGCCTGAGCAGGGAGCTACCTGGCCAGAACACACAGCTCTTCAGTACCATTTTCCTGTTTCTTGCTTGCAGAGACAGATAATTAAGGAGCTAATGACAGTGTCTGAGAACTGGCTCACAGACCTCAGGCCAAGAGCTCTAAGGATAAAGCCCCTAGATTTGACAACAGGGCTATGAACCCCAAGCTTAAGATTATTCTCCCCCACCACACACACACCATTGCCCATTAGGGGGCAATACAGAAGCAGATTCCTCACTTACGTAGAGTTACCTGACAAACAGCTCACATTTAATCTGATGGTTAGGATATTGGAATTGGGACAAGCTAGGAGAAGGAAACTAACATTTACTGGTGAATGGTACGCTACAGTACTGTTACTATTATTTTTTCTTTTCAAATCACTTTTTGCTTTGAAATAATTACATGCCTGTGGGGGTCGCAAAAATAATAGAAAGAGTCCTATGTACCTACCCTTCACCCAACTTCCCTCCATGCAGAAGGCCAGAGAATGGCAAAAGTAGATGCAAATAGTCGTTACTGTCCTAGTTCTCCATGTGGATGATGGGCTCATAGGTATCCATTGTATCATCATTTCAGTTATCTACTGATGTATAACAAATCACCATAAAACACAATGACTTATGACATGTTATTATTTCTGTTAAAATATTTAGTGGAGAGGCAATTAGATTGGGATAGCTCTAATGTCCATGTACCTACCTAAGCAAACCAAAGCTCAACTCATTGTAAAGAGTCTTAGCCAATCAGACACTAATATACCCAATTAAGGCTACTCCTGCACTTTGACCATCCAAATATTTTCTCTGTCTTGCTTTCAAGTTCAACTTATAAAAGACTTTCCCTCCCACCCATTTTGGCAGAGCCCTGAACTGGCAAGTGTTATAGAGCAATGTGATTCTTCTATTGCTCAAATAAATTCTTTGAAATGTTACTATTCCAATGATTGTTTTATAATATTTCTCACAATTCTGTGGGTTTAGTGGGGCTCATCTGGACAGTTCTTCTGATGGTCACCCTTGGATATAAGGTGCAGGTGGAACTGGAATATGCACAATGGGATCATGATAGGAACGGACAGAAGGACGGGTTCGGCTGCAATGCTGGAGTGCTGGGCCTTTCTCTCCACCAGTCTCAAGGTCTCTGGTCCTTCTCCACTGACTTCTCCACATGGTCTTTCCAGTAGAGTCAGTGGACTTCTCACATTTACCTTCAGTAAATGGTAGCTGCTATATAAGCGCTCTCTCTTTCTCTCTCTCTCTCTCTCTCTCTCTCTCTCTCTCTCTCTCTCTCTCTCTCTCTCTCTCTCTCTTTCCATAGAGGATTTTTTTTCTCACCAAAAACAAAAGTTATGGGTCCTTCTTAATACTGACACAGCAAACCTTTTATTAGTGCATAGTGGCCAGATGTGGATGCCAGTAGTTCACTGACAGGCTATCACAGTTGAAACACAATGAAGTATAGCCTGCAAGGACCAAGTTGACAAAAAATGTACTATATCACATATATGTAATTACATACAAATAAAATCTGGAAGGATAGATACCATGCTGTTAACACTGGTTATTTCTGCAGTTGTAACTGAAGAACACTTGTACTAAGTTACAGATTTTTCTGATGTTGTACTTTTAAAGTGATAAATTTATTTTTAAAGTTGCCTTTAGTTGGGTGTCCATCTTCAGAGAACCCAGACTTCATGCCCTTCAGCCTGGCATGGCAGTTACTGGTTGCTGAGGCTTGGAGGCCTACACTGAGCATGTACCATTGGAATGTATAAGGTATCATTAAAAGAGGAGTTGTAGAAGGCAAAAATTCACTGTTTGTGAACCCATAAAACTTCATTTAGTTATTCAATGACTAATGTGGTATAGAGGCAGGGAGTTAGTATTGAGGGCTACTCAGTTCTGGATGAAAAGATAAAAGAGGAAATATTCTGGTTGTTTTCTGAGAAAAAAATCCTCTAAGGAAAAAAAAGAGAGAGAAATATATACCTTAAATAATAATAGCAGCTGTCATTTACTGGTTAATTATGGCCAGATAGGACACTAACTATTGCACTTGAATCATGTCACCTAATTTGTTATGGTTAGAATGTGTTCCCCCAAAGATCAGGTATTGGAGACTTAATCTCCAAATTCATATGTTAATGGTATTTAGAGCCTGGGCCATTAGGATGTGATTAGGATTAGATGAGGTCATGCTGGTAGGACACCTATAATGGCATTAGTGACTTTAGAAGAACAGTAAGAAAAACCCAAGCTGGCACACTTTCTCTTTGTCCTGTGATGCTGTCCACCATGTTCTGATGCAGCAAGAAGGCCCTCACCAGGGCCAAGCTAGTGCTCCTGGACTTCTCAACCTTCAGAACTGTGAGCCAAGAAGACTAACATTCTTTATAATCACCAACTCTGGTATTCAGTTAGGACAACAGAAAACAGATGGAGATATCATTCTCATGTTAACCCCGTGAGGGTCATATCAACTTTCCACTTTATAGCTGGGGGAAACAGGGCCTATTAAGGGTAAATAATTTGGCGAAGGTCATACAACTTGTGAGGTCCTGCCAACTTCCAGCTCTGCAACCTCTCAAACATGCAACTCCTCTGCAGTATATGACCCAGATAAGAAAAAGAACTCAAGAGACCTGGGGGACTAGTCTAAGGTGGCACCCCTACTCTTAATATTGACTGTCTAGAAACATACATCACTCCTTAGGGATGCCCACTTTGCCGTCCTCCAATGCTGGGACCCCCACACACGGTATCACTGATACCCTCCAGCTGCAGCAATATGTGAATTACTAGAATTCGTGTGCAGATTTCCTGAGGTAAGAAACCTGTGTTTGGGCAGATATTGTAATTAAATACTGTGTAAGCTGTTCTTCCTTAAAGGTTTAAGAATAAAGATACTGAGTAGCATCATTTTCTGGGAAATTAAAAATTCTAATTTAGTTTTATCAACAGGACCTCATTGCAGATCATGCATACAAACTACTCTTGCCCCACAACCTCTCACAATGTCCCCAAATCTTACCACTATGATATTCCCAATGGCTTCCTCTCTAGGCTAAGAAAATCTCTTATCAGTGACAAGTGGGAATATCAAGGATGAAGAGTTCAATCGTCTCATTCAAAGCCCCAGCCTTAGAAAGAGGGAATAGAGCTAATAAGACAGGTGGGCATCAAGTTACTGTTCAAGTGCAGTAGGCCCCTGGCCCCCGACTGCCTGAAGCAGGAATAAAGTCCTCTTGGCACAGTCCTTGGAAAGGCCAAGTCTGACCTCTCTAGTTCCTAGGGCAGATTGCTCCAGCAGAGAATCAACTCCGGTTTGAGCCGAGCCCTGAGAAGTGATTTATACTACTTTCCATCCTCTGTTTACCAGAATCTCAGTCTTGTCACTGATGGGTAGAGTTAGCCTCTGAATAGAGGGAGACATCAAGCTGGTTTCACAGTAGAACTTTTCTGCATGCAAAAGCAAACTTCATAACCACCCACAGACCACATCACCCAACGTCTGAGATTGCCTATTATATGTTTAATTTTAGGTGCTTTATAAATATCCACTCACTTTCACTCCCACTGGCTTTATAATATAATGAATTTATGACAATATGCAAGTACTATTTTTACTTCCATTTTCAAATGAGGATACCAGGCAAGATGATACAGTGAGAGAAGGAACTTCACCAGACCCAGTTGTTTTGTTTTTCCATATTTTTTTTATTGGTGCATTATAGTTGTACATAATGGTGGGATTTGTTGTTACATGTTCGTACATGCACACAATATAACAATATAATTTGGCCAATATTATACTCCAGTAGTTCCATTTTCCCTCTCCTCCTCCTTCCCCCTTTCCTCTACTCTACTGATCTCCCTTCAATTTTCATGAGATTTGCTTCCCCACACTTTCTTTTCCTTTTTCATTTTTAGCTTTCACACATGAGAGAAAACATATTACCCTTGACTTCCTAAGTTTGGCATATTTCACTTAACATAATGTTCTTAAGATCCATTCATATTCCTAAAAATGGCATAATTTTATTCTTCATGGCTGAGTAAAACTCCATTGTGTATATATATCACATTTTCTTTATCCATTTATCCATTGATGGACAACTAGACTAGTTCCATAGTTTACCTATTGTGAATTGTGCAGCTAAAAACATGGGTATGCATGTATCACTATAGTATACCTGGGCCATGTGGTGGTTCTATGCCACATCCATTCTAGCATTTATTATCATTTGTATTCTTGATGGCTATTGTTTTAATTGGAGTGAGAAAAAATCTTAGTGTGTTTTGATTTGCATTTCCCTAATGACTAATGATGTTGAACATTTGTATTTCTTCTTTTGAGAAGCGTCTGTTTAATTCATTTGCCCATTTATTAAATGTTATCTGGAAGTTTTGGGTATTAAGTGTTTTAAGTTCTTTGTATATGTTGGGTATTAATATCTGTCAGAAATGTAACTAGAAAATATTCTCTCCAATTCTGTAGGTTCTTTCTTCATACTCTTAATTGTTCCCTTTTCTGTGCAGAAGTTTTTAAATTCTATGTCATTCCTTTTAGTAACTCTTGACATTTTGTCCTGCTGTAGGGGTCCTACTGAGAAAGTCGTTCAGGTCCAGATCTTCCGTTTCCAGTTTACTGCTCTTTTTAATAAGATTGTGCTGATTCTTTCCCCTTGAACACCATGACATCTTATTGTTTACCTGCCATATGGGTAAAGATCAAAAAATTGAGCAGAGGAGGAAAAGGGAGGGAGAAACAGACCTTCTCAGATATTGCTGGGAAGGATTCAGCATGTTATAAGATTTTGAAAGAGTAATTTAGAAAAGATATATCAAAGTTAACAACATATAGAACATTCAATGGAACTATTGCACTTCAGGATGTTCTAGAACAATGATCTTCAACTTTGTGATTCCTGGACCAGTACCATCAGCATCATTGGATACTTTTCAAGGAAATCACTTCTTGGGTTGCACCTCAAACCTATTAAACCAAAAACTTGAGGGACAGGATCCAGTTATCTGTGTTTTTATAAGCCATCCAGGTGATTCTACACATAGTAAAGTTTGAGAACCACTATTCTAGACACACACACACACACACACACACACACACACATTTTTCAGTGTTGTTTATAATTGAAAAATAAAAGGAAAATGGAAACAGCCTAAATGCCCATCAAAAAGGGTGGATTAAAGTGATTAAGGTACTTCTCTACTGTGGAATACTTAAAAAGAACAAAGCAGCTTTGCGTGTTCTGATGTTAAGAGATCTCTAGAATATACAGTTAAATGAAAAAAAAATAAAATTGCTGAACAATGTTATAATGCCCTACTATTTGTGTTAAAATTTTTATAATTGTGCAGATATGTGTGTGCATAGAAAATCCCTGGAAATATGAGTAAGGTACAAGTATAAACAAAAATAAATCAAGTATGGTCCCTGGGGAGGGAAACTATTGTAGGGACTGAAACAGAATGAATCACTTTAATTTTGTACCATTTGTGTTGTTTAATATCTATATTTTACACTAGGGATTAAGAACTATTGATTGGATTCCTCTAACAAGTTCTGGAGGTCAAGTAAGGTAGGTTCTGAGATCCACACAGGAAGCGGGAAGAAAATGAGATGACCATCATTCAAACGTTTTCATATTGGTTTTTAAATTGTTAATGCTGTGTGTCTGGCACTTCTCCTTGGCTCCCTGCAGCAAAACAGGAAGGCAAGAAGATGCAGCAATATTTTTAGAAGCTCAGATGAGAAGAACCAGAGACCTTCAATTTCAATAAGAGACAAGGTTAATATGTTTGTGACACACACACATTCACACACATCCCTATAAATCCTCCTTCTGTGCATGTATGAAAATGGCACAATGAATACTATGTTATATAAAATGCACCAGTAAAAATAAATTTTAAAAATATTAAGAATTTTTAAATAAATAAAAGAAAAGAAAATCTCCTATCATCTTCTACTCCTCTAATTACAGAATTGGAAATGTTTAGTTGGAGAAAAGGAGACTTAAGGGAACATGACAGTTGGCTTTAAGAATCTGAAAAGAAAATGGATTAGGTAGATCTACATTTAGATTCAGAGATCAGAACAGACAGGAATCGTAGGTTTTTTAAAGTTAGAAGAATGCAAATTTCTCATTTAAAAAGCATTTTTAACTATGAGAAATGAATTTTAAATAATAAACCTGGGTATGAAACCAACCTAAGTATTCATCAACAGATAAATGGATAAAGAAAATGTAGCACATATATACAAAGGAACAATATTCAGTCTTAAAAATTTTTTAAAAAAAGGAAATTCTGTCATTTGTGAAAACATGGATGAGCCCACAGGACATTATGATAAGTGAAATAAGCCAGACACAAAAAATGCATGATCTCACTTATGTGTGCAATTTAAAAATGTCAAACTCAGAGAAGCAAAGAGTACAATGGTGATTACCAAACTCTGCAGTGGTTGGGGTCAGCGGTAGAGAAAGACTGGGGAGATTTTGGTCAAGGAGATAAAAATAAAATGTACACAGGAGGAATAAGTTCTATTATAAGATCTATTATTCAACATGGCAACCATAGTTAATAAAAATGTAATAATGTCCATTTTGTCCCACCATCTTTCCTGCCCCCATGCAACCTCCTTCCCCTCCCTCCCCTGAGTTGGACATCATTACTCCAGGTACATGTATGACTGCACATATGGTGGGACGCTATATCATGTACAACTATAGAAATGTAAAGTTGTGCTGCAATTGTGTACAATGAGTCAAATGCATTCTGCTGTCATATATACCTAATTAAAATAAATAAATAAATAAATATTTTTTAAAAGTACTATCTGTGTACAGATTTTACATTTTCTCATCACTAAAAAATAAGTATGTAAGGTAATGCATGCTAATTAGCTTTGCTTAGCCATTCCATGGTGTATACATGTTTCAAAATATTATTATGTGCACATAAATATACACAATTTTTAACTGTCAATTTAAAAACAAAGAACAACAAAAATAAAAAGTATATATATATATATATCTGGGTACTCCCATCAAGTACTCAATTATCTATTACCAGACATATTCAAGTAAAATCTGCTGAGGTTGTTCCAAAAAGAATTTTTAAAGTATTTGGATGATAATTAGATTACAAAAGCTTTGAGTTTCTATCATTTCTAAGATACTCAAGGTCATGCCTGTGGCCACAAAATCACTTGTGTAAGTAGTCAAATATAAAACATTGCTAACCAGAATGAAAACATTTTGTTTGTACTTATTTTGGACAAATTCTTGCTTTCTTCTATTCTGATGGCATCAGAAGTGCATCATCAATGATTCATAAACCTTGTGGCCACACAATTACTTTGATGCTTATCTTCCTGAAGCACTTGGGAAATGTGGATCTCCACTAAGCCATGACCCTGAGAAATTAATATTCAGTTTATAAATTAGAATTGCTTCTATGATGAGCGTGAAAGCTCCATGGAAGCAAGATTTTGTTCTTTTGTTATTTATGATGAGGAATAATAAGAAGACCATATGAAAATGTCAGCTTTGAGATTATGGGAGACATAAACAAGGTCTTAAGAATATTTAAAGGACCATCATTTATAAGTGAACTCCTGTGTCTCCTGGGCCATGCTGAGGCCCAAAGTGAATGTGATGAGAAGATAAATGACCCACACCAATGCCCCATGATGGACAGCTCCCAAAATTCATTTTATAAATACAATTACTACTCTTTTCCTATTCAGAAAGCAGTTAAGGTTAACTAAACTTTATTATGGTAATAGCATTTATTTTTAATTGAAGATATTCAAATGCAGTTGTGTTGATTTTCTATTAATATATAACAAATCACTACCAAGTTAGTAGCTTAAAATAACCATTTATACTTACTTGGGTCAGAAGTCTGGACACAATGTGGGTGTGTTCTCCTGGTGTGTGAGTATTAATGAGAGTCGAAAATCTGATAAATTGTGCATTTCAACACTCAGGGTATCACAGGGCAAACACTGAGGTGTCTTGGCCAGGTTGCTTATCTTATTTAGAGCTCAGTTCCTCTTCCAAGCTCACTTACAGTTGTAAGACTGAGGCCCCTGTTTTCTTGATCATTCTTGGCTCAGAACTATTCTCAGATCCTAAAGACTCCTGCATTACTTGATATATGGTCCCCTTCAACAATGAGAATTTAACAATGAATTTCACCATTATGTATAAATGTAATGCACCAATAAAAATATGGTAAAAATCTAGTATTAAGATAAATAAATAAATACATATTTTTTTAAAAAGAGAATTGTTCTAGCCAGATAGATATTCCTCTTGCTTTAAATATCTGACTTCCCTTGCCTCAACCTCTAGATCCAGATTTTAAAGGCTCATGTGAATTGGTTAGGCCCACCAAAGAAATCTGCCTTTCTTAAAGTCAGCTGTGCCACAGAATATAACCTAATCATGAAAGTAAAATCCATCAAATTCATAGTCCCAGGGACTATAAAAGATGTTCATACTAGGGGGCGGGGATTTGGGCCCATCTTAGAATTGTGTCTACTATCCACATTTTTATTTTAAATTTAAAATACTATAGAAATAACTAAAGATCTATTCAACCACTAGCCATAATTACCAGAGATATGTGCTTTATAAATTTGGCATGAAACTTGAATATTTTACTATGGAGATACCCACACACACGTGTGTGTGTGTGTGTGTGTGTGTGTGTGTGTCCATTCATATGTGTAAAACATGAGATATACTTTTTCAACAACATTATCATATTGTTTTATAGTTATTATAGTTTTATAGCTTTCCAATTTCACTTGACAATATATCTTAAGGATATTTTTGTATCCATACAAAGAGGTCTACTTCAACTTGATTGAATGGAAAGAAGACTAGTAAACACCGAGGATGAAGAGACTTCTAGGTGGAATGTTTCCAGTTTGCATGTGGGACTGTAAACTCAAGGGGGAAAGCCCCCCCAAATGTGTTCAGTACTGTACAAATAGGCTGGTGGCCCAGATGGAACAAAAAGCAGAAGAAGGAGGAAGTCACATGGTGTAAGCTTGATTCTTCAGGAACAGGTGCATCGATTGGTAATACCATTGCCCATAGACATTTCCTTCCCTCTTCCAGCATGGACTCTCACTGGAAATTCTCCAGGGAGTTTTAGGACCTTTGGCCTCAGACTGGTGCTACATATTGGTTCTTCTTGTACTGAGGCTCCACCTTCCTGGACTGAGCAGCTACTCGTTTTTTCAGCTCTCCAAACAGCCATTTTGAGACTATTCAGTTTGTGATCATGTAAATCAACTTAATAAATTCCCTTTTATAATCACACATACCCACATCCTGTTGGTTCTGTTCCTCTAAAGAACTCTAATAACTGAAACCAGTCCTCTACGGATGGACATTTCAATTGATTGCCATTCTTGACTACTATGAACAATGTTGCAGATGGCATCTTAGTAGGTACTTCACAGTGTCTGAGTATGAACAAAAAATAAAATATATGCATCCTGAATTATGTACATTTTAAATTACAGTAGTTACTGCATAATTGAGAGGCTGTATTTCAAAATAAAAGTCCTGCGTAAAAGGATAAACTTGTCTTTTTTATTAAAACAACTCATAAAGGCTCTTTTGATTCTTATCTAATATCTATTCTACTAGAAACTGGGAAAACATGAA